AGCGCTATTATGAACGCAAGCAGTAAAATTTCAGCTGTAAAGCGGAACGAAGTTGCCTCGCCAATATTTGTCATAGGAAGAATCTTCCTATGACAAATAGCGTCATAAGAGAGCGTATATGTTTATGTCGTATATTTGTCATAGATGCAAGCGGAACATGTTGCAATATGCGCATGGCTTTAAAGGTAAAGCTTGTCGCTATTTCTCACATGACGGTCAGTGCCTTAGCTGATGTTGTGCGTTATATTATACTTCACTAGGTGACATAATTATCTCTACAATGTACATGGATGATACACCTGACATAATAAAATATAACATAATAACAATAATATTCATAATTAATATTCATTCACCAGATTACTACCTTCTCTCGTGTTAGAAGCCATGATGACTCGATCAATAAAGAAACAATCAACCGATGTTGAACACTATTATATACTTATTAAATAATTACTTCCTAATAGTTTAACTAATTAATAACTTTATTTAATAATTAATTTACTTGAATAATAATAATACTTAGTACTACTTAATTGGATTGTAGTAAATATATCGTCTTTACTATTAGATTGATTTAATCGGCGATGTGTACAATTTACTTTTTTCTCACTCTCTACTTATTATGACTTCGGTGACGTAAACAAGTCAACGGCAAGGTCTAGTTATAGGCAGACCGCTAATAAATAAGCATGCGCAAATCATCCTCCAATATCACATGCTGCCACGACATAAACACAATCGCACGCGCGTGATCGTGGGGGGGGCGGATTTTTACACCACGATGGCGATGGGCGTAGCCAAGGGGTGGAAGGGGGGGGGTTGGAGGAACGGGCGACTGCCACGTGCGGGAAGCAGCGGGAGGAGGAAGGACATAGAGGACGGGAATGTTTAATCTGCGGAAATGCTTCGGCGAGAGTGAGTGAAGACAGACACACAGTATCATTCACAGGCGTAGTAGCAATATTATTAGTTTTTACTGAGGTGGAGACAGAGAGCATGTACGATAACAGCAAGAGGTGGCAGTGCGGATTGAGCATGAGGTGGGGGCAGATGGAGAGGATGAGGCGGAAATGGGTCAATGGCCGAGTCGCGAGACGAGTAAACGTAACAAAACCAGCCGAGCGAGGCTGGGGTAGGGATACAGTAGGTATGGAGGTATTGACGAGAGGTGTGAACAATCAAGTGCCTGCAGAAAGGTGGGTGCGCGAGTTAGCGAGACTCGCACAACATAAGTGGTCAGAAGGGTAAAGTTTTGTACAGTGCCCCGCTTAGTACAGAAAGTAGCAGCAATCCTGAACAGCGCGACCTAATTTGTCTACGTTTCTAATCACATTAAAAACTAGTTCCCCAAACTCATTAGGACTTAGTAATTACCAGGATAAGTATCCAGTACACCGTCTATCTGTATCCATTCGAGCAGCTGATTGTGAGAATTCAAAGTAAGAAATGAATTACTTTAAGAGCATTGTGTAAAAGTGTTTGTTATGTTCCATAAAAATAACGGTTTCAAATCGGGTCAAAGTGAGCAGTCATTAATAGTTAGTCTTAAAACCACAATTTTAAAGTTTTTTTAAATAAAATGACAAGCCTGACATTGAGATATGTAAGATATTTAAAGCTGATTTTTACTCAGAAGAGGAAAGAGTCGAGTCTCGCAGAAGCCGGGTTGACATGGCAAAAAAGTTATACTAAACAAGCATTAATATAACATGACTAAAGGGGATGGGACGTATTCTAAAGTGAGCTTGAATATCGCAGCGACTGGAGTCGAATTAAATTCCAGAAAATTTTTGCCTAAGGGTGCTTGCGGCGCGTTAGACGGCGCGTAGCGAGCTGGGCTGCTTATAGCCGGCCATATTCGCTACGGCTTGCGATATGGTAATAAAGGTTTCTACTGCTGTAGAGTAGGTAACACAACCCCCCTACGGCGAACGACCAGTTCACACAGAGCTGAGATAACACCGGAAAACCATTGATGAGATTTTGGGTTTATGGCTGGAGGCGTGACGCGCTGCCGGCAGCTGACGAGATCGAAGGAGCGGAGTGAATGATCTGAATAGCCGGCTAAAAAGCTTGATGTGTGAGCAGAGACGATAAATGGTAACGACGAGAAGTAACAGCGTAAGCGCAGCGGAGAACGGGTCGTTCCATCTTCACTTGACAGGGCGCGTTGAGCCTTTAGTAGTTTATCAGCGACTCGAGCCATTTTGGCCGCGATGCAGTGGCGCCATTGGACAACCACTACACAAGCCGATTTAGTAGTCTACATGCCCCGAGTGTACCTCGCATCCATGCATGTCACCAGTGGAGGGCATCCTACCCTGTGTCGCAGTTTCAGCCTGCCAAGGACGATGAATTTCTGTATAAAAAACGCGTCGCCGCCGTCCGTCGTCACCACTCGCTATCTCGTCACACATCCGACGAGACGTAAGGTGTCTACTCCTCTAAGGTAAGCAATGCTGAGCTATTGAGATATTGTAGTTTAACCTCTTACGCGGAATACGTGATCAGCATTCTAGGATTAAGGAAACATTTCGCAAAATTTCACGGAGATTAGTGACGAAATAATGATCAGTTAACGCATCGGAAAAACAGTTGAGACATTGTCATATTATTGTTACAATCGTTGGGTTAGTATGTCTTCTTTTTGTTCATTTATTTTCGAATGATGATTTACGATTGTTTCTGATGTTTTCTGTAGCCCCAAAAATAGAAAGTATCGTCATACTTTCTCGGCGCGGGTGGGCGAGGGCCATGCGGGAGTACTAGTAGGGGTGAGGAGGCAATGGGGATAGAGGCAGGAGCGGCCGAGCGGCAAGTCCCGGACCAACCAGTGGGTGGCAAGGGAGGCTGGGACTGGCGTGGATCGAGCGGCGTATGGACGAGACGGTCTAGAGGAGGGTGAGGCACAGTGAGAGGTCCCACGAGTAGCCGCAGTAGGCGAGGGATCCGCGCGCCGGTGGAAGAGGGAAGTCGACTACCACGTGGATCTACCGCCACGCGCGATCGAGCCCGAGGGGCTGCCGAAACCGCTCGCGCCAAGGCCGTGGGATAGCCACTGACGGCCTAACGAGGAATCAGGATACAGCTCGGTACCGGAAACCGCAAGAAGTTCTGTACCCGTTTACCGGCTTTCGAAGCGCCCGCGATATGCGTTGGACAGCAAACAGGGCGGCAACCAAAGAGAGCGTTGCTCCCTGCCTGGCCATTCATACAACCAACATCGCCACAGGCGGTCAGAACAATTGCCGTCGGCTGAGCCATGTTGTCTAAAGGCGGCGACAGAGCAAAATGATAGAGGAACGAGTAACGAGGAACAAGCACAAGAAAGATACACAGACAGGAAGAACCGGATACGCGCTGTAAATGCGACAAGAGCGAGACGAACACCACGGGGCACGTGGACGACCGCGAATCGCAGTAGGATTGGGCGGTCCGGCAATCGGTTTGAGGATACAAGCGGAATATAGAGGACGAGCGGACTGGGCTACGGAGGAAACGACTTGGATACGGAGGAAACGGGCTGATGAGCGGAGGAAACGGGCTTGGCTAGGAGCGATGATGGAACTTTGGAAACGGAGGAAACGGGGGGCTTGGCTAACGGCAGGCACGGACAGTGGCTACGGAGGGCACGGACTCGCGGATAAGGGGGGGGGGGGGCAGAAGTGGTAAAAAGAACTAGAATAAGACGGCCCGGCATGTGACATATTACGAGCAGGTTCAGATCAAACAATGGAAGTATATGGAGAGAAGGGATGTAAATCGTGAAGTGGCGATGGGGGGTGTGGTCAGACAGAAGGGAAGGTCGGCGCAGCAAGGGGACAAAACAGAGATTGGTTTGCAGCTAAATAGCGGAGGACCTAGTCAAGAAGTATGCACACTTGTATTTACTGGCGGTTGATACACCGGAAGGTCTGGGATGGGTAGCGATGGAGGAGATTTGATCGTTTGTTGTTTGATATTCCGGTCCATGTGTGACTAGGAGTATATTATTAGAGATACTGATGATACTGGGTGACACTGCTAGTGAGGAGAGATCAGCAAGAGCCGTAATTTGAGAACGAAGATGGATTGTGGTGTTTACATGAAGGATACCGTGAGCAGCGGCGTCGGTGACATTGTTCCTCTGTCTCACGTTCTGTTTAATTTCAAACTCACATACTTGAAGTATATGCCGTGACAGCGTATTGAATTACTCGGCGGTAAAAATGCTTAGCATACTTTCGGCCCACGGTAGGCCCAAATGTTTACCACATACAGAATTAAACTGCTGCCTAAAATGACATATAAGAATGCATGTTACGAGAAATTAAAAGATCATACTTAATTTAGAAGTAGTAGTGATAATGTCAGTTTGTATAACACGTTTAAAACACTAAAGTAATATAAAACACGTTAATAGCAATGTAAATAATATATGATATATTTGTATGTAATAATATCAGAGAGATGTGAGGAGAAATGTGACACATTAAAAAACAATCAAATAAAATCCGGATCGGCCCCCAACTTTATCTTGATAACAGATTCTTCTTTTTATCCTATCCTGTTAGCCTTATACAAACGTTCTAATGACACTAATAATTATGAAACAGGCAAGTGCGCCATGTGGGTAACAATCAAGTTAGAATGCGTAAAATCATGTTTTGGCTAACAGATATACTGCTATCGTAGCTGGGAATATATTGAAAGCGTTCACTTATAAACCACCATTAATGTAGGTATTCGTCTGTGAATGCATAACAGACTGGGGTTCACGTTTATACTGGAGTGCCATTAATCACCTCATATACGGTGTTTAAATACGAGAGTCAAGCTAATATTATGACTGTACAAATATAGCGCACTTGTTTGCCTAAGCGACACTCTTCAGACATGTTATCTAGTGTATAAGTGAACGCTTTTAATATATTCCCAGCTACGATAGCAGTATATTTGTTAGACAAAACATGATTTTACGCATTCTAACTTGATTGTTACCCACATGGCGGGCGCACTTGCCTGTTTCATAATTATTAGATTTATTAGAACCTTTGTATAAGGCTAACAGGATAGGATAAAAAGAAGTATGGAAATGAGTGATATTCTGTACAAAAAAATCTATTAATTTCAGATATCTTTTGTATACATATAAAAATACACATGACGGAATATGATAACTGAAACAAACGATCAATCTTATAATAACCAGACTTAATACAAGTGAACCATTCAGCAAATTAAATATCTGTTATCAAAATAAAGTTGGGGGCCGATCCGGATTTCATTTGATTGTTTTTTAATGTGTCACATTTCTCCTCAATTTCTCTGATATTATTACATACAAATATATCATATATTATTTACATTGCTATTAACGTGTTTTGTTTTACTTTAGTGTTTTAAACGTGTTATACAAACTGACATTATCACTACTACTTCTAAATTACGTATGATCTTTTAATTTCTTGTAACATGCATTCTTATATGTCATTTTAGGCTGCAGTTTAATTCTGTATGTGGTAAACATTTGGGCCTACCGTGAGCCGAAAGTATGCTAAGCGTTTTTACCGCCAAGTAATTCAATACACTGTCACGGCATATACTTCAAGTATGTGAGTTTGAAATTAAACAGAACGTGAGACAGAGGAACAATGTAGAGGTAATATTCTGTACAACACAATCAATTTATTTTTGATTTTCTTACTGCAGTGTCAAGTATCAGCAGTATCTATAAATATACTCTATACACATGTATGACGGAATACAAAAAACAAACGATCAATCTCATGATAATCAGACTCTCATCAAGCAGTAAAACAAGTGTGATATTTATAGGTCTTCCGTGTTTAGTAAAAATCTCTGTTAGTCCTTTGCTACTTCTTACAACGACAGCACTTCAGATTTAATCCTCATCTTTACTCATGTTGTTGAACTGTGTATGGGTCCACATGCGTCAGTCTAATGCACATAGCCTCCCAATCTGCCATATCCGCCGAGTCCGTGCCCTCCGTTGCCAAGACCTCCGTAGCCAAGCCCGGAAGATCCGTAGCCAAGCCCGTTTCCTCCGTATCCAAGTCCGTATCCTCCGTATCCAAGTCCGTGTCCTTCCGTAGCCAAGTCCTGTCCCAATTCGCATGCTGTATCCAAGCATTGCGACGCCAAATCCACAGGAGCGGCCGCAGCCGCGCGTCCGCCTGCATTACAGGGACGCTGGTGGCGTACGTCTAATCTGGGGTAGACAACTGAGCCACGCCAATGTTAGCCTGGCGGGGATGATTGGTGTTGCATGCGGCCAGAGCAACCTCGCTGGCCCTGCGTGCCAACGAAGGGCGCTCGAAGGGTGAAGCGTTACAGAATCTTGGCTTTACCCAAGCTGTATGTGTTCCTGTATGCGTATGTATCCACCGGCCGTTGCGGCGTTTCGGCAGGCCTGCGGCCTCATCGCGGCGTAGCGGCCACGGCGGGGCGGATCCCTCCGCGGCGTAGGAGCTGCTGCCACTCCTCTGACCCAACCATTCTCCTGCAACTGTGCACAAGCCAGTGGTTCCCTGCACACGTCCGGTGGAACCTCTGTCGAGGCGTTGGTTAGTCATTCACAGTAGCGCAGGCGAGCCCACAGGAGCGAGCAACGATGACGAACTTTCATTTTGCCTACAGAAAGACATCAGAAAAATGTAAAATCATCATTCGAAAAATAAATGACAAATAAAGAGCCTTAACTTAACCAACGATTGTAACAATTAATATTGACAATGTCGCAACTGCTTTTTTCCGATGCGTTAACTGCTTGATATTATGTCTTTCACTTAATCTCCGTGAAATTTTGCGAATTGTTTCTTATCTCTAAATGCCCTGCATCACGATTCGCGTACGGAAACGAGTTAAACTACATTCATCAATAGCTCAGCATTGCTTACCTTAGCGGAGTAGACACCTTACGTCTGATTAATCATCCAGTAGATTTCTTTAGTGTCATAGAACAACTAGGCACGTGCTTTCTCTTTCCAGATACGACAGCAGTATACCTGTTAGCTCAAGTCGTGTTTTTGTGTATCTGAAGATGATTGTTACATTGTGCATGCAATGGTGAGTAGGCCCCTACTGGTGTTTTGTTACGGTAAAAATGTGGCAAGCCATGCGAACAAATATGCGACCCTGCATCATTCAGTAATAATGGGTTTTCTGTATCATCAACCCCGTTGGAGGACCCTTATTCACACAGGTCACTAACGACATCTATTCCATCGTTAATCAATCGCTACCTATACATATATTAAAAGTCGCATATTATACGTAGCATCGATTGTTGCCCTATGTGATATATATACGATATCACATATCGAAGAAGACAACCATGATGGTATAATGTATGGTCACGGCTATACGTGCAGAGAAGTAAGTATGTGGATGTCGTTGTAGAAGATTGTGCACAATTCTGCGATGACAGAATGCGTCATAGAGCTATATTCACGTAACATATATGTGTAATAGAATAGCTATAGAATTGGCCATAAATGTCTATATACCTCTATACTCAGTTCAACAGCATGATATATTATATTCACGTGCTTTATATTTCCAACTCTATGATAGCAGTATACCTGTTCGTTTTAACTATGGTTTTGTGAATTCAAGATTGTTATATTGCGCAGGCAGCCATACATGGTGTACTTGCCCATTTAATAGTTATTAGAAGGTTTTCATTATTTTTTTTATAGAATGTAAACAGAACATGGTTAAGAAAAGTACAGAAATGAATGACATGCTATTCAACTAAATAAATATATTTCATATAAAAATACATATAAAGTAATACAAGAGATACAAACGATAAATCTTATGATAATCAGACTCTGATCAAACTGTAAAACAAGTGTGATATTTATAGGTCCTCCGTATTTAATAAAAGCTCTGTTAGTCTCTCGCTACATCTTACAACTATAGCACTCGTCTTGTTGATCTGTGCATGGTTCGAATACTGCGCCCTGATTAGATAACCTCCAAGTAAATACCAATTGCCATGTCAGTATCTATTGCCAAGTCCGTTTCCATTGCCAAGTCCGTATCCTCCATGCCCGTAAACTCCACCAGCCCATGGAGTAGGCCTACCGAGTCCGTGAATTCCAAGTCCCCGCACGCCAAGTCCACTCACGCTGCGAATGCGGCCACCACCACAGCCGGGACCGCTACATACCGGCACGGCTGGGATCGGTACGTTGACAGAAGGCGCAACAACTGGAGCCACGGCAATGTTAGCTTGTGGAATGTTGGTGTTGATGGCAGGCAGAGCAACCTCCTGATCCCTGGTGCCAATGATCAGTGACGAGTGGCGTACTGGCGTTTTTATACAGAAAACTCCTCGTCCTTTGGCAATCTGAACGCGAACACGAGGGTTCCGAGCCCAGCACTGGTGACATGCATGGATGCGTTCGTAGGTACATCTACCGTGGCCATGTAGAACTACTACATGGTTGTCCGTAGTGTTCGAATGGGCGGCACGCCGTTGCCGTCAAATGGCTCCGATCGCTGTAAAAGCTATCAGGTCATCAACGCCTGTCATAAATGAAATTGAACGGTCGTGTCTCGTTCGCGTTCGGCCTTTGTCAGGTTGGGCGGTAGCGCAGCTTCAAAAGAAGTGTTGTGTGTGTTGTGGGGGGGGGGTGTATGTATTCAGCTTACACGCAGTGGAACATTGTATACCTATCTGAACACATACGGAAAATAACGGCTATAAGGCAGCGCAGCGCTAGCGCGCCGTTAGAGCGCGGAAGCACCATTAAGGGCTAAAGAATTTAGCCGCGGAAATTAATGGCTCCAGGTGCGATGTCGCCAGCACTTTGAAATAGTATTTTTACTCACTTAATTCAATGATTTATGAGTAAACTTCTCCGCCAATATAACCTCAATACTTCTGGAACCCAATGTTCCCGCGAGAAAACATCCTTAAAATCTCATATTTAGCTTGTCATTTCGATATTTGTAAAAGTTTAAAGTTGAGGTTTAATAAATTTAATGACTCGTCACTTTGACCGCGGGTTTGAAACATCACCGTCCATCGCTGCGCGTGTGAGGTTAATGTTTAGTGGATAATAAAAAAAACTTAACACAATGCTAGAATTGAATATTTCTCAGGCCTTTATTCTCACAATACTGCGGGCAATAATACATATACGTGTACTAGATACTTATTCCTGTAATAATGCAGTCGCTAATGAGTTTCTGGAACATAGTTTTCTAATGTGATTAGAAACGTAGACATTAGTGGGTGTTCCAGTGGATTTGGTGTATTTTGTACTAATGCTGGCAGTGTATAAACACTCTTACCTTCTGACACTGGACTTCCTGTTTTGGCGGAAGTCCTCGTAAATCGGACCATGTGTCGAGATTGTAATTGTTACATTGTAATAACGTGTCCCTACGCGGACGCTGCCTGCGTGTTGGTTTTGTTCGTTACTGTCCTGCGATCTGTTGACCTTTGTGCTAATTATGATGCGAGAAGTGTTGTCATACGAACTTAGACTTGTTGTATGTACTAGAGTTTGTGTACTGCCACCAGTAAAATATATATATGGGGCGACTTAAATAGTATCTATTATCGACTATAGGACGCTAATTAGACTGGCTTATATAACTAATAGACAATATAGTATATTTATCGCCAGGCAAGTCAGATAAGAGAAACCACCGAGAAGGCGTGGGTAGGACACGTTATTACAATGTAACAATGCAATCCTGGCGAAATGATCCGGATTACGAGACCTTGCCGCGAAAAATCACCAACGAAGACATGGAATAGAATCAGAAGTATAGAGCTGTTTCTACACAGACCGCATGGCAGGATTAAGTCAGGCACGAAATTCAACAGCAAGAGTCAGCTAGGAAAGCACCATAACCCTAAGAGATAAATGTCATAGACAGAGGGAATATTCAGTAAATGGCACCATTGAAAACTAGTTCCCAGAAACTCAGTTAGGACTCATTAATTTAGAAGGATTAGAGTATCCAGTACACGTATATGTAGCATGTCCTAGCAGTATTGTGAGAAGTAACAGTGAGAAATAGATTATTTAACGGCGTTCAAACACGTGTCAAAGTGACAGTACATTAAATATGTAAGTTTAAACCATTTCAATTCCGATGAGACTTTACCGAAACACTAATGTCGGACACTGGCTTTATAAGAGTTTTTGCGTAATAGATTTAGATACCGGACTTTGTGAGTCAATGATGTTTTTCTCTCGCTTTGGTTGTTTTGTGTCGGTGGCCTGTGGCGAATGCATAGTGGTGGGTCTCTAGATGATCGTGTTAATAGTGGGCGAAATAGGTGTTACTGCTATAAATGGAATTTAAATTAAGTGTGGTATACTTTAATATTATAACTATTTTTAGACGTTTGCTTGGAAATCGGGTATTCCTGTAAGCCGGGTATTTGAGATTTGTGATATAATTTGTGTTCGCTATAAGATGGTTTGTTTGTGTGTGTGTGTGTGCTTCGTGCTGTCTTTAAACGGCCGCTAGCAGCTGGCTGTCGTGATGAGCGTTGATTTCTCTCTCTATAGTTGTTTTTCCCGATAGTATAAAGTTCCATTTTCTGCTGTAGTAAATAAGACGTTGCTAAGATAAGTCTGTGTGTGTGTGTGTGGGGGGGGCACACACCACACACACGCGTCGCGAGCCATGAACTCAGTGGACACACACACACCACACACACAGACACATACATACACACACGAAACAGTGCAACCGAGCACACACACACACCATTCACACACACACACCACACACACACACACACACAACACACACACACACACACACCAGTCCACACAACACACATACACACAACACACACCACTTAGCGACACACACACACACACACACACACACACACACACACACACACACCACACCAATTAACGTTATGTCTGAGCTAAACGCGAGAGTAAACTAAACGAGAACGCGTTCAATTTCATTTGACGGGCGTTGACCTTTGTTTTACAGCGACTCGGAGCCATTTGGCGCGATGCGTGCGCCCATTCAACCACTAGACAACGATTAGTAGTCTACATGGCCACGAGTGTACCTCGCCATCCATGCATGTCACCAGTGGGGCCTCGACCCTCGTGTCGCGTTCAGATGCCAAGGACGAGAGTTTCTGTATAAAAACGCCGTCGCCACCGTCCGTCGTCACCACTCGCTCTCTCGTCACACATCAGAAGTAAGGTGTCTACTCCGCTAAGGTAAGCAATGCTGAGCTATTGATGATTGTAGTTTAACTCGTACATGAAGCAGTAGTTAGTTATGGTTATTAGGAGGTACGCGAGCGACGGTGCAAATTGAAGATTCAGTTAAAGATTAGCATGTCAGACGATCACATTGTGAATATCAATAAGTAATTTGTAATCGCTGATTAGGGTAACATCTAGGCCGCTTTTATCTAAAACAACATGTTCGTATTTTATTAGCAATTTCTGATATTATTTGTAGGCCAACAATGAAGTTCGTCATCTTGCTCGCCCTGGTGGGCTTCGCCTGCGCTACAGATGGTGGACATACCACGCCCCAGAGTTCACACACACCGTGGTGCAGGGACCACTGGCTGTAGCAGCGAGTTGCGGAGAGGGTCAGAGGAGTGCCAGCAGCTCCTACGCCCGTGAGGGATCCGCCGCCGGTGCCGACTACGCCCGCGATGAAGCCCAGGCTGCCGAAACCGCCGCCAAGGCCCGTGGATACCAGTACGCATACAGGAACGGATACAGCTGGTACAGCCCAAGATTCTGTACGCTTACACCTTCGAGCGCGCCCATCATTGGCACCAGGGATCGAGAGGTTGCTCTGCCTGCATCAACACCAACATCCCTCCCAGGCTAACATTGCGTGGCTCCAGTTGTCTACCCCAGCATTAACGTACCCACCCCAGCCGTCCCCTGTATGCAGCGGACCGCGGCTGGCGCCGCTCCCGTGGATTTGCGTCGGGCATCTTGGATACAGAGGCGGATATGGACACGGACTTGGCTACGGAGGATACGGACTTGGATACGGAGGTCTTGGCAACGGAGGGCACGGACTCGGCGGATATGGCAGATTGGGAGGAGACTGGGATTAGACTGACGCATGTGCAGCCATACACAGTTCAGCAACATGAGTAAAGATGAGGATTAAATCTGATAGTGCTGCGTTGTAGGAGAGTAGCAAAGACTAACAGAGATTTTTACTAAATACGGAGAACCTATAATATCACACGTGTTTTACTGCTTGATGAGAGTCTGATTATCATGAGATTGATCGTTTGCTTTTTTGTATTCCGTTATGTGTATAGAGAATATTTATAGATACTGCTGATACTTGACAGCTGGTAGTGAGAAAAATCACAATAAATTGATTGTGTTGTACAGAATATTACTCTACATTGTTCGCTCTGTCTCACGTTCTGTTTAATTTCAAACTCACATACTTGAATGTATATGCGCGTGACAGCGTATTGAATTACTCGGCGGTAAAAATGCTTAGCATACTTCGGCCCACGGTAGGCCCAAATGTTTACCACATACAGAATTAAACTGCCGCCTAAAATGAGCATATTAAGAATGCATGTTACGAGAAATTAAAAGATCAATACTTAATTAGAAGTAGTAGTGATAATGTCAGTTTGTATACACGTTTAAAACACTAAAGTAATATAAAACACGTTAATAGCAAATGTAAATAATATATGATATATTTGTATGTAATAATATCAGAGAGATGTGAGGAGAATGTGACACATTAAAAACAATCAAATAAAAATCCGATTGGCCCCCAACTTTATCTTGATAACAGATTCTTCTTTTATCCTATCCTGTTAGCATTATACAAACGTTCTAATGACACTAATAATTATAAAACAGGCAGTGCGTAATGTGGGTAACAACAAGTCTAGAATGCGTAAAATCATGTTTTGTTAACAGATATACTGTATCGTGCTGTGGGAATATATTGAAAGCGTTCACTTATAAACCACCATTAATGTAGGTATTCGTCGTGTGAATGCATAACAGACTGGGGTTCACGTTTATACTGGAGTGCCATTAATCACTCATTATACGGATGTTTAAATACGAGAGTCAAGCTAATATTGATGACTGTACAAATATAGCGCACTTGCTTGCCCAAGCGACACTCTTCAGACATGTCATCTGGTGTATAAGTGAACGCTTTTAATATATTCTGTTAGACAAAACATGATTTTACGCATTGTCTAACTTGATTGTTACCCACATTGCGAGCGCACTTGCCTGTTTCATAATTATTAGATTTATTAGAAAAGCTTTGTATTAAGGCTAACAGGATATGATAAAAAAAAGAAGTATGGAAATGAGTGATATTCTGTCACAAAAAAATTCTATTAATTTCAGATATCTTTTGTATACATATAAAAATACACATGACGGAATATCGATAACTGAAACAAACGATCAATCTTATAATAACCAGACTAATACAGAGTGAACCATTCAGCAAATTAAATATCTGTTATCAAATAAAGTTGCGTGGCCGATCCGGATTTGCATTTGCTTGTTTTTCTAATGTGTCACATTTCTCCTCACATCTCTCTGATATTACTCATACAAATATATCATATCTAATTTACATTGCTTTAACGTGTTTTTATATTACTTTAGTGTTTTAAACGTGTATACAACTGACATTATCACTACTACTTCTAATTAAGTATATGATCTTTTTAATTTCTCGTAACATGCATTCTTATATGTCATTTTAGGCTGCAGTTTAATTCTGTATGTGGTAAACATTTGGCTACCGTGAGCCGACAAGTATGCTATAGCATCTTTACCGCCGAGTAATTCAATACGCTGTCAGCGGCATATACTTCAAGTATGTGAGTTTGAAATTAAACGAGAACGTGAGACAGAGGAACAATGTAGAGTAATATTCCTGTACAACATAATCAATTTATTTTTGTTTCTTAGCTGCGAGTGTCAGTATCAGCAGTATCTATAAATATACTCTATAGCACATGTTGACGGAATAAAAAAACAACGATCAATCTCATGATAAATCAGAACTCTCATCAAGCAGTAAAACAAGTGTCGATATTTACTAGTCCTCCCTGGCTGTCTCATACAAAACATCATCTAGTTAGTTGCCTTTGGCTACTTTTACAACGAGAGCCACTTCAGATTAAGTCCTCATCGATTACTATCCTGTTGGAACTGTGTACTGGGTGCCACATGCTGTCAGTCTAATCCAGCATAGCCTCCCAATCTGCCATATCCGCCGAGTCCGTGCTCCTCCGATTGCAAGAACGGCTCGTAGCCAAGCCGCGGAGATCGCGTAGCCAAGCAACGTTTTCTCCGTATCCAGGTCCGTATCCTCCGTATCCAAGTCCGTGTCCATATCGCCTTGTATCCAAGATTGGACCGCCCTAATGATCCGTGGGAGCGGGCCGCAGCCGGGTCCGCATCACTCGGGACGGCTGGGGTGCCGGGTATGTACGTGCGGGTTAGAGCAACAGGAGCCACGCAATTGTTACCTGGGGGATGTTGGTGTTTATGAAGGCAAGCAACTCCTGGTCCCTGGTGCCAATGATAGGGGCGCCGAAGGGTAAGCGTAGCAGAATCTTGGCTGTACCAGCTGTTATCGCGTTCCTGTATGCGTACTGGTATCATCGGGCCTTGGGCGGCTTTTCGGCAGGCCTGGGCTCCTCGCGGGCGTAGTCGGCAACCGGCGCCGGATCCTTCAGC